CTGCTCTCTGGCCAGGGATTGAACTCAAGCTGAGACTTAACCCCTAGGCCACCAGGGAGGCCCAGCATGTTATTTATACTTGCTTATTCGCTTTGCAATGATCCTGTGGGGGAGATAATATTCTGATGCCCATTTTACAGTTGTGGACACTAAGGTGTAGGACAGATGAACCAACACCTGAAGTCACAGCAACTAGGAGTGGATAGAATATTCAGGATTAAGGGCCTCCCTGGTGGCGCAAGAGGTTAAGCACAGCACTGTGAAGCTATCCGCAACCTCTGCAACACCAGTTTGATCCCTGGTTGGCCAGGGAGCTATCCACATGGCACAGCAGACCTCTCCTGTCTTGCCCACTGCTCCCCCCAGCAGCGTATTTCAGTCAGTCTGCGTGTTCTGTTCCCCACTCTGTCTCTGGTGAATCCCCTCACCCTCAGCACCTCTGACCTGTACCCCAGTTCTTGTATGCATAAATAATCTTAAAAAAAAAAAAGAATATTCAGGATTAAAATCCAGCAAGTCTGGCTCCAGAGCCCACAAGTTGAACCTCTACATTCTTCTATGTCTCTTTAAACTTATTTTTAGAAAAAGAAAATATGAAATTCCTTGGTCCAGGCTGTCTTTGGCATTAGGGACATAGACATGTGACATTCTAAGTCATTCCCAGCTCTCTCATACTCTCTCTCTCTCTCATACACAACACACACCCACATACACACACACACATGCACACGCACGTACATGCGCACACACAGCCTGCCTCATCCTGGTACTGCCAGATACAGTCCTGTGTCCTCCAGGTTCCTCCGTGGACAGGCATCGGGCCCCTGGGTACACTGTGCTCTCTGGTTCAGGTCCAAGTCTATTCTGGAACATACCACCTTTTTGCCCATCCCCTTCCCTGCTACCCCGGCTCTGCCCCAGGCCAGCATTCCTGGAAAGCTCAAAGGCAGCTTCTTTCAGGGGAGATTTTTCCACAGAGTTCCCGTGGCCAGAATCGAGGTAAGGTAAGCTGAGAAGGGTCCTACAGAGGCTGCACCTAGAGGCACCAGGGCTGTTCCCCATCTCCAAGGCAGGGGCCTTGGCAGGCAAGAGAGCCGCAGAGTGCCCTTCCCCACCCTGTGTGTGTACAGGGGCCTCTTCTGGGCTCTCATGAGAGTTCAGGACTCCAGCGTGTGTTTCCCCACCCTGGCTCAGTCCCGCCCATTGCCAGCACGCAGTGTCGCTGTGTGTCCAACCCTGTGCTGGTGGCTGCAGGCCTGCCCCTGGCAGCACCCCCCGCCCCCTGACATGCCATGCAGCCTTCCACACGTGACACAGTGCTCAGCCATCAGCCTCAGAGTCACCTCTGGGACTCTATCTACTCCTGGGTTTGGGTGGGGGTTCAAGAACATGGCCTCTCTTACACTCTGACGCCTGACCGTGTCCCCCAATAAACACAGACCTGGGCTGACTATCGTTGTGGCAGCAGGATAGCTACACAACACTGTCCCCGTACCCCAGGTGGTAGAGGCCTGCCACTTAAGCAAGTGACTGGGAACAGTCATCTGTCCCTCCTTGGTCCCCTGTTCTTCCAGCCCCACCTCCCTCCCCAGCCTGAGTCAGAGGCCAGTCAGCCCCACTGCCCAAAGGCCCAGCACATTTGGGTGGGAATGAGCTGTCTGTTTGCCAAGGCCCAAGGAGATGAGCCAGGCCCTCATTCTTCACTGACCTAACCTTTAGCAGGAACCTCCAAGCTTTCTTTGATCTAGGAATGCCACATGTACACACACATACACTCATTCCCTTTCACACCCAGCCACACTGTGCCCAGAGATGACACAGTCCAGGTATGGGGCTGAGGCAGGCCAGGGAGGAGCGCTGGGCAGAGCCCAGCATGTGCGGGTGTGGCCTCCTGGCCTCTCCGGCCGAGGCCCCAGCATCTCCTGATACGGGGGTTCAGAGCCTGTCCAGCCTGGGAGAAATGCCTGTGCTTCTTTTTCCCTCGCCAGAATAGGCACAAACTCTGCCTTCTTGGCCCCAATCCTACAGAAGATTCTCCCCCCACCCACACACAACTCCTCTGTAACCCCTTAAGCTCTCCTCCCCTTCCTAGTCTAGCCTCATAGAGTATTAAAGCCCCCCAAAACCTTGGGTCCCTGACTCAACCCCTGGAACTGAGCTAAGCCCTGGTGGCCCAGTCTAGGGGTCTCTGCTTCTGAGCTGTCCTAGCCCCCCCCCCACTTGGCTGCAAGGGGCCCACCCTGCACCTTTGCCACGCCTGCTCCCTCCCCACCACACAGTGCTCCCCAGTACATGCAAGGGCTCCACGCTTCTGCCCAGCCCTGACGACTGTCAGGATCAGGGCCTGGTTTTCTTTTCTGTTTTGTTTTGTTTTGTTTTCTTCCTGCACATCCCTACTATTGGCTCTGCCTGAAATGACCTGCCTCCTTGCCCTCCTGACCATAGGTCAGCAGTCAACACCTTAGTATCTGAGCACTGATTATGGGCTGGGCCCTGTCCTAACAGCTTTACACAGTGCTTGGTTTCAATCCTCACAAGAAGCCTATACAGAAAGTTCCATTATGGGCCTCCCTGGTGGCACAAAGGATAAAGTCTCAGTACTATGTGCTATCAGCAGCCACTGCAGCCCGAATTCAATCCCGGCCAGGGAGCTGACCCACATGGCGCAGCAGACCTCTCCTGTCTCGCCTGCTGCTCCCCTCAGTGTATTTCAGTCAGTCCATCTGTTCAGCTCCCCACTCTGTCTCTGGTGAATCTTCTCACCCCCACACCTCTGGCCTGTACCCCAGTTCATCTACATAAAAATAAAATAAATCTTTGGAAAGAAAGTTCCATTAGTTACACCCATTTTTCAGATGAGGGAAAGGAAGCTGAATGAAGTTAAGGAATGAAAATTTCTACCCATCTGTCAAGATTCCACCCTCCTGGGCCTCCCTGGTGGCGCAAGGGGTTAAGCACTGCACTTCACTATGAAGCAATCCGCAGCCTCTGCAGCACAAGTTCGATCCCTGGCCAGCCAGGGAGAAACCCACATGGCTCAGCAGACCTCTCCTGTCTTGCCCGTTGCTCCCCTCAGCAGTGTATTTTGCCAGTCTGCCTGTTCTGTTCCCCGCTCTGTCTCTGGTGGATCTTCTCATGCCCCGCATCTCTGGCCTGTACCTCAGCTTTTGTATGCATAAATAAATAAATCCAAAAAAAAAAAAAAAGATTCCACCATCCTGGGACTCCCCCTTCTCCGCCTCGCCTCGTCCCTACCCTCTGTCCCAGGCAAGACAAACAGCCTCTAGCCTAGAGACACCACTTCTCCAGTGACTTCTGTTAGGTTTTTTCTACCAGGCACCGGTGTTTGCCCTTCTGCTCCTGGGAAAATTGGTGTTTGGGCCTGAGTCACTCACCTGCTGCCCATTACTAAGCCTGGCAAGCGAGAGGTATAGGTAACTCTGCCTGGAGAAATCAGCTTCTCCCTTTCCTTTGACTCATCCACTCCCCCTGTGCTTTCTTCCCTCTCTCCTCACCCCTATACTGACCCTGCCCAACAGTGTTGTAGTGTCAGGAATGACACAGTGAGGTTTTCCCATTCAGCTGACCGGGTAAAGGAGGAGTCAGAGTCCTCAGTGGTTTTTTGCAGGCCTTTTATTTAGATTACCAGGTACACGGCAGGCAGGGGTGCTGGGGGGCCGGGAGGCTGGCAGGCCTCCCAACCCCCAGCAAATCTTCACTCTATCTGGGCTCTCCGGCCTTCTCTCTGCTTCTCTTCTTCTTTCGGCTTCCATTCTTCTTGGCTTCTACTGGCGTCCCCGTGATGCCGCCCTTGAAAGCCCAGTCTCAGCCCAGGTGACTCCCATCTACCGATGCCCACACCCTACTCCAGGTGCCCGCCATCAGGCATGCATTCAGGACCGCAAGGATCCATCATCTATCCTGATGGCGGGAGGGCAGGAAAGCCTGACATTTTCCTTACCCTACAAGTGTCCACACCCTTTCTACCAGTTCCCAGGAAAAACGAGGGGCTCTGCCCTACTTTCATGTTGGGCCTTGCTGATGGGAGGCAGGATCTGTGTTAGGGAACTTGAGAGATGGTTGGGCCTCAGGTCAAAGGGGAGCCAGATGGACCTGAACCCTGGGGGTACCAATTCAGCACCCCAAGTCAACTCTGGATGGCCACTTCAGTGTGTGTGTACATATAGGGGGTGGGATGCTGAGGGGAAAGACCGTCACAGCAATGGCACGTTTATTAAATGGGCACCGAGTTAAAAATAGACCCCAAGTGCCCCAGAGCAGGCAGAAGCTTGTTGACCTCTGGCTCAGAGAGTGAGAGGGATTCCATGAGCCTGAGAACTGTCTGCGCCTGCAGGGCCCCTCTCCCGAGAAACATATCTGTGACTCTGTGGAGTGTCACACACACCCAGCATTGCTGGGTGCACCGAGCGCTTGTGCTGTGAGCTTCGAAGAGGCCGTGGTGTTCGTGGCAGAAGAGCACTGCAGTTTAGACCTAGTTGGGACCCCAGCAGGGGGATTACTGTGTAACCACCCCCATTTTGCAGAGGAGGGCAATGAAATTTCAAGAGAAATGACTGGTTCAAGGTCATGTAGAACAGGCTAGAAGCAAGTCCCTTGGCTCCCAGTTCAGGACTCATTCCACTGTTACATCATGCTCGTCAAGTTGAGTTGCACAATGGCCTAATATATTTTGTTCTTTCGTGTTAAGTTATGTAATATGTAGGCAGGGGTAGAATTTGGGTGGGGGTGGGGATGTCATTGGAAAGAGGCAACAAAAAGTCAAAGCTGAGATGCGCTCAGTGAACACATGGCCTCTCAGCACCCCCCACCCCCAAATCAACCCCTGCTCCCCACCTGAGATTTCTCCCCAGATCATGTGTAGTGGGTGTGGCCTGCATCCAGTGTCTAATTATTGCCTGTTGACAGTTTCTGGTTTGTGTGTTATCACCTTGGGTCCCTTATCTTTATCAGAGCCAAAGGTTGACTGGTACATTCTGGCCGTGGCTCAAAGCAACTCCACTCCAATTTGCAGAGCATTTATGGCCACTGTGACTAATAGCCCTCTTTCCTCAGATAGCTGCTGCCGCTAGTCCAAGAGCTGTCGTGGAGTCTGGTTCAGTTCTCACTGTGCCTGCCAAGAAGATAGTACAGAGTTTCCCCCTCAGTCAGGGGAAGAAAGTGAAGGCCGGGAGGGAAGTAAGCTCCAGGTCCAGGCCCCTCAACCTGTCCCCAACTCCTTGCCCCTCAACCTGCCCCCAGCTCCAAAGCAGGCCACGGCTCCTGCTTTTCCAGCCTGTCTTGCTGGGACAAAGTTTCCCCTGTGCCTTATCAGCACACAAGGTAGAATTTTAATCTAGCCATTTTTGCCCCTGTCCTGCCCACTCTTAGCTAACCCCCTTACTCATCAGGGGGCGTCTACTCATCAGGACAGACTGAGATGAGGTCATGGAAGAGACCTGTGTGGTCACAGTCAGGCTCATCCTCTGCCCAACATCAGCTTCAGAGTCACCCCAGGTCCTTCCCTGCTCCATTCTGAGCCTCAGGGGCTCTGAGAAATGACCCCACCCCCTCATGACCCCTGACCTTCCCACCCAGAGTCCAGTGACATCAGAGAGGACCTGGGTCCTACTCCCAGCTCAGCCACCTTCCCCTTTCTCAGGATCCTGGGCCAGCCGCCGTGAGGCCAGACCTCAACACGCCGCCTGTAAGATGGACATAACTTTGATCTGTCCTAAAACACTCTCCTTTCAGTGAGCCTTGAGACCTGATTCTGGGTAATGACCCCTCCCGCTGGGCATAGCTCCACCTGGAAGAGGATCCAGGTCCCCAGATGTAGTTCTTTTGTGCCTCACACCTCGCTGGCCCCACTTATGGCCACACAAACCCTTAGCTCCTGGGCTGTGTCTCTGGAGTTTGCCTAGGAGAGATGGAGACCCCTGGAGAGGAGGTCCTTAGAGACAGGCAGGGTGTGTGTGTGTGTGTGTGTGTGTGTGTGTGTGCACCCACCCTCCCAGGCCATTGTCTGGAGGGGCCATTGTCCAGAGGGCTGGGCGGTTGCCTTTATGGCCAGGCAATAAAGGTAATCATTGACCACATCAATACCGCCCTGTGCGCCAGTGCCCGCCCAAGCTCGACCCTGCCAGGCCCTGGATTGCTTTACAGTCACATAAAAGGAGCCTCCACACTGGCCCCTGGGGACTTTGGCCCCTCAAGGCGGGGAGCAAGAGGGAGCTGTTCCCTGGAGACGGCCTCTTCTTGTAATGTTTACTTGGCTGGGGAAGAGCCCTTACCTTTTATCAAACACCACCGGGATTATCTCAGCCCAGGCTGCCTGAGCTGCAGAGTCCCCATCAACAAGGGCCACCGGTCTTCCCCCTCCCGCCTCCTCCCCACCCGCAGCCCAGCTGCATCCAGAAGACAATCTGGTAGGTGCTGTTTCCTTTATAAGTTCTAGTTCAAGCCCTTACAACCCATGGAGTGGAAACCAAGATAATTCCCATTTTACAGACAAGAAAACTTGGGCTCAGAGAGGCCAAGTAACTTTCCTAAGTCACACAGCCAGCAAATGGCAAGCCTCAACAACTTTCAAAAGTCTATAAGGCAGCAGTCTCCAGATCTGTTTGATTATGAATTACTCTCAATAAAAAACAAGTCTTAGCGCACATGCACGATATAATTATACACACCCATAAATCATATACATGTATGACTGAAAACCCGTATATTAAATATTAGCAAATGTCACAGTCCAATGGAACCACCTTTTTTTGTCCTATGTTCAAACCAGATCAAATCAACCCAACAGACAGTCCCTGAGTCTGGATTTCTGGGGCAGAGACAGGGATGGTAACTGGGCTGAGCTTTGAAGGAAAGGTAGGCCTCAGGTGGATAAATATATTAGGAAACGGCATTCCAAGCAAATGCTTGAGCAAAATCCAATAGGCAGAGATGTTCAGGTGCAGACAAGGCCCCAGGAAAGTGGATGGGGTATCCACAACGCTGGAAAAGTCAGGAGGTGCCCAAAATAACCCGCCAGTCTGTCAGAGCTTTGGGTGCAGTAGGGAGCCATGGCAGGTTTGCGAGCAGGGGCGTGACTTCGCCAGAGTCGTGTTTTGGAAACATCCCTCAGGCCACCGAAGGGAGCATGACTTACATTCTTAGACTAATGTCCCCGGAGTTGTGTAACACATCCTTTTGGGAGGTGCTAGACTGAAGGGCAGTTAGGAATTGCCACACTTCTGTGTGTTCGCACACACTCTGCCGTTTACCAGCTGCCCAACCGTGGGCGAGTTCTGCTGCCCTCTGGTCTTGGTTTTCTCATCTAAAAGATGGAATTAACAATCATGCTCACATCACAGAGATTGCCATCCCTCTGAAGTAAGGGGAAACAGGCTGAAGTCCCTGGTTCGGTATCTGACATGCAGCAGATCTCAGTTAAGTGGGGCTGTTCTCAGTGTTACAACACCCCTTCTTGCTCGGCCTGAGGAAATCAAGTCAACCCTTCAAGTTCAGACTTCACTTTTGAGGACTAGACTTATTTCTGTCTTCCCTGGGCTTACCTAATTCTGACTCACATAAGTAACACAGCATTGGCACATCACATGATCACTGCTTGCACTTACCCCTGGCACCCCCTACCATCTCTGTGCTCCTGTACTAGACACTTAGTGGGTCTGGATAAATTTTTGCCACTTGGTTCAAAGTTAAATGAAAAAATGAAGTAACATCAAAAGAGGAGGAGGAGAAGCAAGAAGAGGACGCAGACTGTTTAGGCCACTTTGCTAAGAAACTCTCCCACTGTTTTATGGATCTTCTTATCTACACTATAAAGTAGGTTTGTCAGGCAGGACATGTTAATTTATGCTGAGGTAACAAGCATCCCAACATTTCAGTGGTTTGAAACAGAAAAGATTTATTTCTCTCTCATGCCAAATGAGCACTGGGGGGCTCTGATCTCTGCTGTCCTCGGCAGAGATAGCACCACTATCCATCAGTGTGAATGGTGAGTGGTGTGAACAGCACCACTCACCATCACTGCAGCTCCTGTGACTGCTCCCTGGAAGTGGCACGGATCAAGTCTACTCACACTCCATTGGCCAAAGCAAGTGACTCAGCCATACTCACTTCAGGGAGGTAGTGCAGTGCAATCCTGTGAGGGACCAGGCCTGTGGCCCCAACTCTATATTGTGAAGCCTGTCCTTTCCAACTATTGACTAGCCACTCCCAACAGGGTCACTGAAGTCCCCTGCAGCAAAGAATTGAACCTCACATCCAAGGATTATCCATCTCTCCCCTCCCCTGGACATCCCCCAACCCTCAACATCAACACCCAAGAATCGGGGTCAGTCTTTACCTTCTAGTGAAATTGAAATCATCGGTGAATACAGCCTCTGGTTAGGCATGGGAATCACAACTCTATTTCACATCTGACACCAAGACATCGCTGGTTTATGAGGAGCACAGGAAAGAGTGGGGGAAAACAAAACAGGCACAGCTGGCTTGGGATTGGAATGTGATTTATTACGAAATAATTACATGCTATCTACAGGCTGGGATTGCACACTTGAGTCTGTGCCACAAGGAGAATCTGTCCTGTGCATTTCCCAGAATCCATTACCTGTTTTTTCCATTGCCATTTGCAACAGGGATTGTGCAGGCTCTAAAGGCAATTCAGCTGTGGTACGTGTATATTTGCGGGAGTGTGCGAGACAGTGAGCCAGGAAAGAGCAGTCTTTTGTGGTCCCTGCTGTTGCTGAGGACAGAGCACTGTTTAGTTCCTGATCCAGATTTAAGAAAACCCTTTCACATCTGAAAGCGTGTGCTAAGCCTGCTTCCCTGTGAGAAATGGTGAACAGAAAGACCCCCAAGCATGGGCAGATTTCATTTTGCTCCAGGGATTGGTTAAAGGACGCAACCAGACACAGCGTAGCAAAAGCTCAAGGGCAGAGACCCTGGAGATTCAAACGATAAACTGGGGACAGGGTTAGGGGCTACTGAAGGTCAAGGGCCACAGGGCAGGATGGAACTATGGGAGGAACACAGTTCTGGGGTTCTGCCACTAACTAGCTGGGCAACCTAGACAATTCCCCAGCCTCTGAAGGCCTGGGTTTCCTTAATATAAACTAGGGCTAATGAGAAACAACCCCTCCCTCCCATTGTGGGGTAAGTGAATTCATGGGAAAAGTCAGGCCTGGTGACCAATAGGTGTGCAATAGGTGAGGCCCTGCCCTGCTCTCTGCGCCCCTGAGCTCTGGGGTGGGGTGCAGCCTGGTGAGAGACCCACTCTCCCTGAGTCTTGGTCCACGTGAGCTATGGAATGGGGAAGGGCCCTGTCCAGGAGAATCAAGTCCCCAAAGAAAGAACCTAGTGGGCGGATGCCCAAGAGCTCCCCTTGCCTTTTCAGTCAGTTCCCTGACTATCTATCTCCCAAGAGCTTGCTGCAAGCTGGCTGGCTTCCAGAGCCCTGCTGGGGTCCCTAGCCAGGTTTTCTGGTGGCAGATGAGGAAATTTCAGAGTCTAGAATTTAGCTCAGAGGTAACTGGAAAGAGGGGGCAGGGGTGGCTCATTACCCAGAAAACAAAGAAAAGGAACCTTGGTTTAGAGCAGAAAGAATTCAGCATCAGGAGGCAGGGTCAGGAAAGGGGCTGGAGACTGCAGGATGGAAGAGATGAGTGTGAGGGGAGCAGAGGGGTTCATGAGGGATGAATGTGGGACCCTAGAGACAGGAGTCGTAGGCCCACGAATCACAGTAAGGCGAAGAAGCAGGGTTCCTTGGCCAGGCAGGAGGAATGCAGCCACAGCACCTGGAGGTAAGTACCCCGAGACAAGACAGGTGTCAGGGACTATGGGGTGCTGTGTTCACACCCCCCAGTGCAGACTGGGGAGGGGCAAATGTCTCTGGGTGGGGTTCCTGACTCCTTGATCCAAGAGGCCTGGAAACAGGGCTCATGTTACCATCCCACAGCCAGGCCCTGGCTATGTTGACAAACGGGCCCTTCCCCCAGGCTGGAGTTGCTGAGATGTGGCATTGTTAGGCTGGAAGTGAGTCACAGGGCCTTTCCTTCTTTCTTTTCCTCTCTACTTTCCACTTTGCTCATTGGACACCTTGCACATCTCTCTCTCTCTTTCTCACACTCACACACACACACACACACACACACACTTCAAAATCCATAAACTATTTAAAAAGTGGCCTATCAGCTCACACACCTGGGCCCAGTGCTGGGGAAAGTGGGGGGCTTAGTTCAGGTTCTGGGGCGTGTGTGTATCTGCACAAGGCGCATGGCAATGGGTATGTGCACACACGGGTGTAACAGTGTCTCTGAGCTGCTGGGTGTTTGTTTTTTTTTTTTTTTTTTGGTAAAGATTTATTTATTTATACAAGAACCAGGGTACAGGCCAGATGCGTGGGAGGGTGAGGATTCACCAGAGACAGAGCAGAGAACAGGCAGACTTGACGAAATACACTGCTGAAGGGAGCAGTGGGCGAGACAGGAGAGTTCTGCTATGCCATATGGGCTTCTCCCCGGTCGGCAGGAATTGAACCCATGCTGCAGAGGCTGCGGACAGCTTCACAATGCGGCGCTCAACTGCCTGCGCCACCAGGGAGGCCTTGCTCCTTGTTTCTAACTTTGTAAACACACCTGTGTTCTTGAGATCAGAAGGGGTACCGGTGAGGGGAGCTGTGGCTTGTGTGTGTGTGAGGTGTGGTTGGAGAGCTTTCCATGGAGAGGGGTGTATGTGTGTGTGTTCATGGGTTGTGGGGACAGGCATAGGTGTTTGTGTGTTGTATATTTGAACCACTAGGGCGGGTAGGGTAAAGGAAGCGCATGGATATCCGTGTGGTGGAAGTGGGTGCTGGGCATGGAGGAAGCGTCGCTGTCTGTGTTTGTGTGGGTCCTGGGGGTGACTGTGTCTGGACAGCCAGTCTTGCCTCTGGTCCTTCAGGATGTGAAAAGACTTGGGTTTGTGACTGAGGCCAGTGTCACAGCCTCCTGTTACATTTCCCTCAGTCTGGCCCAGAGAACTGGAAATAAACCCAAAGCAGAACTGGTGGCTGTGGTGGGGGTGATGTCACATTCACCAGGGGTCTCCCAGGGGCAGGGATGCTCACCAGACTGAGCCTCTGGCCAAGGAATGGAATGAAGGCGGGGCCTTGCCCCCTTACACCCTCGCCTGGGTCTACCCAACAGAGAGAGTCCGGCTACAGAGAAGAAATGCCGGAGCACAGGGTCCTCCCAGCGCTACCAGGTGGGCTCAGCTCAGGCGCTAGAGAGGATGACCCCTCAGGGCACGTAGTTTGACCTCATCTATGAGTCCCACCTGACCCTGCCCCTGTTAGACTGAGAAGCCCAGAAGGCAGGGCCTCTGTTTCCTCTCAGCCTCTGTCTCTCCAGGTGTCAGGGGGGACCTGTCTACAGAAAGCAGTTACCTGCACCTGGATGAGCCTGAAGCAGTGGGCACAGGCGGAGGGCTCAGAACCAGGCCTCCTTCCCTGCTCCCCAACCAGGCCCAGAACAGCTCAGTAGGTGCAGGTCTCCAGACCATCCCTAGGGGGCGCAGACAGGCAGCTCCACATGCCTGCACCTGTCAGTAGGGTAAAAGACTGAGCTGGCCTGGGGGAGGGGAGAGGGGCTTGAGGATCTGTGTGAAGAGGGGGGCAGAAGTTCAGTGGGCCCTGATGGGGTGTGACCTCTGTCACCCACTGGCCGTAGGAAGAGCCCCAGGGTCCATCAAGAGTACAATCCCAGGTTCCTGTGCACCAGACTTCATGGAGTGGGTGGTCAGGTTGTCCCTGGGGGCTTTAGGCTCCACACAGGAATGGTGGAGGGAGGGATTACTGGGTTTGCCCAGCTTTCTCTCTCCTCTATAGGCCTCTCCAAGGAATACTTTCCCAGAACTCCTCAAGATGAAACTCTGCTCTCAGCCCCAGGAGGTGGCAGCAGATGAGTGAGGGCACCATTCCCCAGCAAGGGCCCAGGCAGAGGGCTCACTTGTTCGACTCTGTGGCTTCTCCTGGGATGTACCCCTGTGACTAGAGGCTCCCGGAGCAATGTCATGTCTCTCCAGTCCATGTGATTAGACTCCCTGGGTGCCTGTCCTGCCGGGAGGAAGTTGCTCCAGGGTCAATTCTGAATTCTGGAGGGTGGTCCCCATCCAAGGAGGTGCTGCCTTCCTCCAGCACTGCCCATCCATAAAGGGTATTTGTGCCCAGGCAACACCGCCCACCTGGGGCTGGAGGCAGGGGCAGCGGGAACACAGTGCCACAGTGAGAGCGGGACAAACGCGCCTGTGTGCACCCTGGCTGAGGTGCCGGAGGAA